ATATATATATATATATATATATATAACCAAAAAATATATACCTACTTTAATAATGCAATAATATATAAATAGTATAAGAATAGATTCTTCTCTTTCTCGAGGAACGAGATGAACAAAATATGACGAAAGTGAAGAAGAGTATATTTCTTCCAAGTAAATATTTGTCTCATTGTTGTAAATAATGTTCTAAGTAAAATTTGTTATCAATGTGATGTTTTCATCTTATGTGATTTAGAAGATATAGCGTAATATTAAAGACACGAGAAGAATAAACATTATTATAAGAATTTAAACTAAAATTTTATAATGTATTAAATACTTAATAAAGGAAAACAAATGAAAAAAATATGTAATTTCGCGAGTCCATAGAACTTACACGACGCTGAGTTGACGCATCCAACCACCTTAGTACCGAGGTTTTGTGTTCTTGTACGAATTCCACTGAAACAGTGACCCCAAGCAATTGTTTAGGCATATTAAGATTGTCAACTTCGTTTTCGTACTATGCTATGTGACGTTTGTGACAAACGCATGCTTTGCACAAGGGAAAAAAAATCTGCTATTTCTTTTAATATTTTTGGGTGCTTTGCAGCCATTCTTGCAATTTAAAATTTCTACTGGAAGGGAGTGTTCTTGAGTGCGCCACTGTTGAAAGCAGAAGCAAAGATTGCAAGCTGCGTTGGAAATTTGATGCGCAAAACAAAATGTTTGAGTTGAGATCATCTCCATCTTCTGTCTCCTCCCAACTTAGTTGAGAATCTACTCATCACCAGTCATGGATTTTTCTTCTTCAAATCATCATTGCATCTGCTCAATGTTTTCCACCATGCGACCATTTCCACCCGCGTAATGTCAAACTCTTCAACTCCCCCAAATGAGTGTTGCATTGTCACTGCTAAAAAAGCCAGCTTTTATGACCAATCCCACAACATGGTTTTCTTACAAACCTTGTTCCTCCTTTTACTTGTAACATTTGGTCACTCCTTTCCAAGGCACCACCACCACCACCACCACCCTTCTCATTCTTTACTCACCGATAGAGCTGCGCTTCTGGAATTCAGAAAAACAATCGTATCAGACCCGTTTTCCTCACTTGCAAACTGGGATGAAGCTGTTCCTGTGTGCAACTTCACGGGTGTTGAATGTGACAGATCCCATAACCGTGTTATACGACTAATCCTATATGATAAAGGTCTTGTGGGGCTCCTTTCACCTGTTCTTTCCAATCTCACTGGACTGCATAACCTTGAGATAGTTCGAAGTCACCTATTTGGTATTATTCCCCCTGAACTATCCAACCTCAGACGCATTCACAGCATCATCATTGAAGGGAATAATTTGCATGGCTCAATACCAGACTCCTTTGCCATGCTTTCCAAGCTTAACATTCTAGTCATTAAGGAAAATAACATATCGGGTTCGCTTCCTCCATCTATCTTTTCAAACTGCACTCTGCTAAATGTTGTAGACTTCTCCAGCAACTAATTAAGTGGTAAAATCCCTGAA